GCATCTTACAAAGAATGCTGTTGGAAATGAAGGAAAGAAGAAGAATGAAGCAGCATGAATGAAATGAAATTCATTCAGGGGGCATTTTAGCACAGCTTGTTTAGAATTCCCCTGAATCATTTATATAGAGAATATAAGCAAAAATATATAAATGCATCTATATTACATTACATGTCATGTGTTAGACGCTTTTATCCAAAGCGACTAACATACATTCAGTACTGTGGACAATCCCCACAGGAGCAATTTGGGGTGAAGTGTCTTGCCCAGGGACACAACGACATGCTGACTGCAGTGGGACTCGAACTTGCTATCCCCAGATTCAAAGTCCAGCGCACTATCCACTGAGCCACAGCCTCCCTATATCTACAGTATATTGTCAAGGCAAGTGAGTTTATCAGGCTCTCAATTAGAGCTGTGCAATTAATCGTATTTTAATCACGATTACGATTTTGGCTTGCAACGATTACGAAAACAACGTAATTTAAAAAAATATTTTTTATTGTGTTTTCAGTTGAATTATACTTAAAGTTCAGGGTAATCAACTGTTAAAAACATACTGTTCAAATTTGTTTTTTCAAAAAATTGATGTTTTCAAAGTAAATGGATAATCGTTTTTAATAATCGTGATATCAATTATTGACCAAAAATAATCGTGATTATGATTTTGGCCATAATCGAGCAGCCCTACTCTCAATTCAACAATCTCTCTGGTTCAGTATGATTCAGTCATATGCAAACTGTGCTAATTTTCTTTAGACTATAAATGTTGCCAGCATTGATTTGCATTCCCAGGGGGGGGGGTTTGAAAATGTGGTACTTCCAAGCACTAAGAGCTTTGCCCAGAAGCAAAGACACTTTTATTTCCTTTAAACAAAATCATATTAAAGTCTTTCTTACAAATGAATCCTTTGTTTCTTCCTCTGCAATCTCTAATAAAGAGCATCAATAAATACAGCACAAATGTTGGCTTTCGCATCGTCTCTGACTTAACCACTGCTGTCATCATATATTCATGGGTAATTATAACCCCAGACACCACCATCCTCAGAATCACTAATGAAGTTCCCCAGAGGAAATCAGGAAGAGATGCGGAAGCCACATTCTTCCATCCTCTTGAACACACTGAAGTTAATGACCTCGCTATCAGGGAATCGGCATTTAGAGGATAATTACGTCAAAAACAAACCCACTCAAATCATCTCCCCTTAAAAATCCCCCTGATCCTCCACGAGACAGGATGGCAGGGTCGGTCAGCTGGAGCCTGTTCACAGAGCGATGTGTGGCGGCTGGCCCGCACTCAGAGAGATTCAAGTCGAATTAAGCTCAAGCAATTTCAAAATCCATCGACATACAATTGTGGGATTTCGCTAATTGGGACATCATAAGAAACCTCTCAGTGCACTTTGCCTATACAAGTTAGATCACACACACCTAATACCCCTTGCATTAAACTACTATAGCTAGGGTATTGATTATTTAGTTTGAATTGTTTTTAAAGTGGACCTATAATGCTATTTTTAGGCAATAGCATAGGTCTCAGATATATAAAAAAATATAAAAAAAATGTCTATGAAGTGTTTTGCTCAAAATACCAAACAGATCACCCATTCTAGCCATGCCTCATTTCCCTCCATTTCACTTCCTGTTTCAAAAGTGCTGATTTGGGGTATAGAGTGGCGAAGTCCCTCCCCTTCCGGTGGACCTCCATGGGACCTTATTTCGGAAAAATTATGCATTGAAGTCAATGGAGAGAGAAAGATTATCTTTCGATCCCGTTTGAATTGTGCCACGAATTACACATATGATGTTTTGCAAGTAAAAAAAAAAAAAATGTGTGGTAAACCTGTGAAGTAACACATTTGTTTGTGTGAAACGCTCAATGAACTACATCTCTGGTCAACAACACACGTCACCAAGATGGCCGTCACTACTGTCTTGTCAACAAAACGATTGCCTATCCTCACTATCACCACAATGAAACACGTCCTGAAGAATGTCATGCAAAGCTGCCTGCCTGCCTTCCTTTGATTCTCTCTGAACTGCCTGGTCGTTTTAATGTTTAATGTCAACCATTTGTGCAGATAGCATGAAGTAATAAAAGATCGCCGATGCTAACGTTAGCGTTAGCATTTCTCCCCCGGGCTTAAATGGTGTATTATAGAATGATCACACCGGTGACAGTACTATTCAAAGGGTTCACGAAATATGACTACTACTCTTACTGTTTAACATTTTGGGTTACTTAATGTTACTTCATGTTAAGGCTAATACAAATGACAAGGCTGTAATGCTAACTAACGTGCTAGCTACTAGCTAGGTAGCTAACTTGATCAAGCCACTCCTGGTCCTTTCATCAGACGGGAAGCAAAAGAACGAGCAAGACCCATTGCTGGTATAATAACAACCTGGTACTAAGCACACAGGCATCTTGTTAAAGTTATCTTATCTTAGCCAGCGCCATATAGATAGATTATATCTATATGGCGCTGATCTTAGCTATCTCTTAGTGGAGGAAAACAATTGTGACATCACTTACGCGACTCTGGGATTTGTAGTCTTTCTAGTTACGTATTTTTCATAGTCTTATATTTCAACAGTTTTACGACAAACTGTGACTTTTTTTACATGGAAATTATTTTTTAAGATTGACAAACATCATATGTGTAATTCATGGCACAATTCAAACGGGATCGAAAGATAAGTTTTCTCTCTCCATTGACTTCAATACATTATTTTTCTGAAATAAGGTCCCATGGGGCGGAAGTAGATGGGGGTGACTATGCCACTCTATATAGCTTTAAAAAAAAAAATGATAAAAAAAAGGAGGGGGCTGAGCTCATGCGCGAGATTCTACCGGCAGATTCTGTGGTGATGAAACGCCATATCATGGATTATCAAGGATTATTTCTGAAACAGTATGGAGCTCAAAGGCTTTCTCTCTTGCCGGTTATACCACAAGGTGAGTTCCTTTTTATTTCCTGCTTCTTAGCTTAGCTCTGAGTGTTAGCGATGCTAATGTAAACACCGACCATATTACGTCCAAAACAGTCGGGCATTGTTTCTGATAGCAACGTTTCTGATAGGGCCGTGGGTGTTAAGCCACCCTACATTTCTGATATTACGTCATATCGGACGCAAATCTGGATCCGCTCCGTTGTAGCCCCGTTTTTAGAGATTTGGGTAAGGAGGAAAAGAGAGAGGGTTTTATTTGCTGACGCTGCGTGAGTTCCCCGACACACCGGGGACACATTTTTATGTATAAAAGACATAAAAAAAGTGCATTTTGCATGATAGGTCCCCTTTAAGTGAAGAAATAATGTATATAAAAATTGCACTAAAAGCTAAATCTGTAATGCTAATGAGTTCAGCACTTTTAAACTTTATGACGTGCTCTAAAAGTAATTTATTTTCCTTTTTTTTTACATGGCGGATTAAAATACAGTAGTAGAAAAGCAAACACACTGTGAATTCAAAATTTAAAACGTATTAATCTAAAAAGTATTCATATCAAATAATGCAAATATCGAAATATAGATGCACACAAATAGATTAAGGCTCTTGCAAATGTTTCATACTTTGCACGAAATGTCGAACAAATTCAAATGACATCTAACTTAGAAACTGTCTTCCTGTAGCAACATGAGCAGAGTATCTTTGCAAGACACAACAACAGGCAAAACAAAGCCGAAATGTCAGTGAGGAGGAGGAGGAGGCCGAGGAGGAGGAGGAGGAAATATGTATTGTCAATGTGAAATAGAACAGCAATGACAGCCATGTTGGCATCAGATGCAGACGGACTTACTGAGACTAAACATCAGACAACATAGCAGTCTCACACGTCAAAGCACGAGTTAATAATAACTACCAAAACAGAACAAAAACAAAACATGGCTAGAAATAGCTGCTGAGCTTTGTAGGTGACGTGAAGCTAACATTTTGAAATACCTTGGTCATGAAGTCAGAAGTGATGAAATCATTTCCCAGCAAGAGAAAGAGTGCACACTAAAAATATGTTTTTCCCCGTAACGATTGAATCATTTGAACTTTGCTCGAATTAATCTTCGACATGTAAAGTATTCAGTTACATAAGAATATATATGTAATGCTCTTAGCATGTTGTATTACACCCAAAATAATGTATATTTTCATTGTAGTACAAGGAATGTGTAAGGAAGAAAATGTGTTTGACTATGACCTCTCCTTTAGTCACGGGTAGTATAACAACACAATGCATGCTGGGCTTCTCAGTGTGAGCCGAGATGGGGAGACTTTACTTACTTAACAAATGTTTTCTGGAAAGCCTCACTATAATAAACACACAGACACAAATCTGAACCCAGAGCCAAGTTAACAGGGTGAGGGTGAGCAGTTTGACAAATTTCACTGCTTTGTAATTGTTCCTCTGTGCCAAAGCGTGAGAATACTTGTTACAAAAAGGCAGATTTATAGAGGGGCAGGCACAAAGTCAAGGCTGTGAGGACAGAAACCAAACACACAATATACCCATTACGTCTCCCTGTGCAAGGATGACTAACCCTGTGTAGACTATGACTATTTCAAATATTATGTCAGGTCAAAGCTATCAGAATGAATAACACATCACAACCAGGATGTCGGCATAGTGAGGTTGAAGTAGTCCATGTATTGGTCTTGCTGTTGTTGTGATGTTGTATGGGGTTGGATGCTTTTACTACAGTTTATTTGAATAACAAAATGTTCTTAATGTCTTTACAGGCCCACATCAGCAACAGTTCCCAAACCAGCCAAAGCTCATAAAAAAGAAGAAAGGGAAAACTTCCTCAGCACATACAAATTTGGAAAATAAATTATAAGTACTCAGTTTAATGCAACAAATGTAACTTCAAATTCAAATCCGACACAGCTGTTGACAATATATATTACTGACGGTATAGATTGAGGCGGCAAGTTAGATTTGTTTAATTTGCAGAGCTAGTGCAGAACAAATAATAACCGATAACAAAAGTGACTGTGCTTACCTTGCAGGTTATGCAGCTCCTTGTTGTCGTGAGTGTTTTCGGTCTGAGAGCAGCAGAAGTTGCTGATTCAGACGACGCCACGGGGCATCTTGGGGCTGCAGCCAATGTTCCTGCAGAGAAGAGGCGAGAGGGCAGATGTCAGCTTAATGTCACCCACCATCAAGTGCTAATGGTGAGCTCCTACTCATCAGAAGTCACACACATACAGGCTAATTAACAATAATGGATTTATTTGAAGAAATGACAAAAAAACTGTGTGTCCACATTTAAATCAAGAGAAGCTCAGAACATTAATAATCCACCTTTGTACAAAATGTCCAACATAAACGCTGATGACCAGTTCAGGGAATATTTTGGTATCAAATAAAATACCACATTGTATAATTGTGTGGAACTGAGACCTGCTGATGCATAAGGGAGAAATAGGTGTCATAGTTTTTCATCGCTGACAATTGGCCCGAGATTTGACATTTCAATGCTTAGGCTGTTGCTACCACAAGAAAATAGGACATCATAACATTTAAGAAACAATCTTTATTATACCCTTTGTTCAAATGAAATGTATAGCTTTTGTAAAATTAAAATATTGCTTTAAAAGCCTTTTAAGCCTGCTATACAACTACAGAATACTAAAAAGATATTGTTAGCATCTCTGCCTTTTTGACGTCTTTTTCTCTTCTCTAAGATATGACAAGCAGAGCAGAACAAACAAAAACATTTAGCCCAGCGCAAAATTGATGCGGCAAGGCAAATAAACATCTGTCACTTCCATTGTAGAATGTCGTCTTATGTGCCAATTTACATTTTAAGAGCTTAAATATCTGGAGACTTTATAAGTCTCCGTTGGAACCCTGCCCTCTACAAAGCACCATCTAAGAGCGAGACTCAAAGCACTGCTCCCTCCTGATCTCCATTCACCAAACATTCACCCAGTCACAGAGCCACTGTGCATTCATAATGCCCACAGAGGAACCATTGCAATGTCAGTCTCTGATCAACTTTTACGTCCCAATTCTCATTAAAAGCCATGAGTCATCAGAAATTAGACATGAACCACTCCCCTGCCCTAAATTCATCGCTGCAGGCCTGGTATTCAGGTTTCACCCTCTTTATACTGTAGTGCAGGCCAGAAAGCCAGCTATATAAGGAATTGTTAGTGGTGAGTCCAGCTAGCGGCTCTTAACTATTACAGCCAAGAGTTTAGAGGTGGGGAGTCTGTTTACACGGAAAGCCTTTTGATTTTTTGTTTTAAGAGGGTCCACTTGCTAAACATGACTCGGGCTTTAATGTATAATCCAACACTAATATTGGCTGCCAGAGGGCAGAGGATGGGGGGGGGGGTGAACAGAATGTTAGTGTGAACACATGCAGGTGTGAGGTGTGAGGTGTGAGTAAAAACATATAATCCAACTTAATGCAAGTCTTATAATTTAGTATGATCTTATTTATATAAAAGAGGTTTGCAACTAGGGCCATGCTAAGGAATGCTGGTAAAGGAAAAGCAAACGCAAAGAGAGTGACAAAATCTAAAGAAAACAGGAGACTATCAGATCAATCCTAAAGAAAGTCCAAAAAGAACCCACATCTGACAACTAAAAAAAGAAGAGAGAAAAGTGTAATATGTCAAATCAGGCCAACCCTCCCCTGGGCTCCAGGTTTTAGCCGGGACCACTTCCTTCCTCTGGCTCTCTGATGTATTTCTACGCAGGCAGATAGCTAAACAGCAACATATGTCCCTTTATGGCAGTTAAGCGATGGTAATCAGGGTTGATATGGAGCTGAGCACACAGAGCTACTGCTACTGCGATGCAAACAGTTTTATTGCATCCCAACAGCACTCATGCAATTTGCATCCAGTCCTTGAGCTGTGCCTATTGTAATGCCTCCACAGGCTCTCTTGATTTACAGGCTGCTGCTATGATGCCATGATGGACAACTTTCATGCATAGTGTCTGGGAAATGATCACTCTGAGACAAAAAGCAAGAGTCTGAGTCGACCTGTCAGGAGTGGAGAGTATCAGATTTGAAAGGTTGAGCCGTGAGCCTTGGGCAACTTGCACATGCACCGGGCCTTTGATCTTCAACTCAAACTCAGCCTAAAAGATCCCTATGGGAAGAAAACCTGCCAAGCTCAACAGAACCTGAATCAAAGACTGCATGATATGAGCCCTCAAACCACATATGACATTACTGTTCTTGGCTGGCTTCTAGAGCAACAGAAGGTTTCAAAGACATCGACATGTTGGCTTATTACCATCCTGTTCAGTTAAGATTGACCATGGCAAAGAAATATGGTTTTAAGAAAAATTGTGAAAAAGGTATAGGAGGAAATTGTCAGGAAGTTGCTATTGGGAATTGTTGAACTGGAAGGCAATTTCTTAAATTCTTCCCTTGGCAAACATTGTTATTGGGCCAAGACTCTGTTTTGGTGACCCACTTTTGCTCTATTTCTGTGGCAAACACAATGTTTTGAAATAATAAGGATATTTTCAGACTTTGAATAACAACAACAGAAAGTAACAGTGTGCTCGTAGACATTCATTAAATATTCTGGGTTTCTTATGAAATGCGCAGAGGTTTCCTTCTCTTAGCTATGCAGCTAGATTGGTTTTGTTTGCAGCCTAATGGCGCTTTTCCACTGCAGCACGTAGCACGGTTTGGCCCGGCCCGCTTTTTTTTGCTTTTCAACTAGGGGTAGTTCCGGCTCAGGGCTACTTTTTCACCTTTTTTCTGGCTCTCCAAAATCGAGGTTCTTACCGGGCCAACAACCGGGCGGAATATGCTAAACTAGTGACGTAAACACTCTCGACTGCTGCAAAAATATTTTACCGTGATTTAATTGCATTACACATTTCAAAATGATGCCGAAGTAACAACATACTGATACCGGTCCGCAGACAAGACGGCAGTAGAAAAACCTTTTAAAATGTGTGTTTTTCTGAATGGAGATCGGATCGATCAGGCTAAGCTAACGTTGTATATGCTCCGTCCACACTCACAACAACGGCCTACAGACATAAATAAACCAGCGACTGTATTCACCATGACACAGGCAGTCTGTGGTTTGTACTGGTTTAACTTTTGTCTAGTTTCTGAACAGATATGAGGAGCTGTGAGCTCTGAGTGCTAACTGCTAACGGCTGATGTTATGGTTTTGTGGTTCACATTGAAGATGACGTCACGGCAGTTTTACGCAGGCGTCGCTCCGCCCGCCGAACAGCAGATCACCCCGCCTACAATGCGTTACTATAGTTACTACCCCAGTTCTTAAACTGTAATGGAAACGCAGCATAAAGTGAGCCTAGCCTACTGCTAGGTCCTGCAGTGGAAAAGCGGCATAAGTGGGCTGAGAGGCCACAGGACGGGCAGAGGTCTGTTTGCAACGGTCCATGGAGCGTGTCTTCAGGCCGAGACCTTGTTCCCAAGACAGACACCACCAAGACTTCTCCATGACCTTTCCAAGAGCTGGGAAGGTTTTTGAATTGCAGATTGAAAGAGAAAGTCTTAGAGATTCTGTTGCTGCAAAAGAAGAAGTTGCAAGTTGTTTTTATCTAGGATGTGATATTCAAATCCAGTGTCTACAAAGATCTAAAATGCTTTTAACCAACAACTAGCTTCAGGGTGTGTGAATCTAACTGGATCAACATTGGAAAAAATATGGATACAAAAAGACAAAAGACTCTATTGAAACCTAGCCCAACATAAACCACTCTGTCTCCATGGTAAAGGGATTATATCATGACTCAAGCATTTTGAGGATAAATGCAGTCTGGGTTTGCTGTGACAAGTGACTGATAGGATGTAATGTTTGTGAAAGAATAAGCATGCAAGCCAAAACGACGAGACAAATGACTGGAATGGAGAGCTACCCTGTAGTACGTGAGCCATGATGTCATTCATTGGAGACAGGGCAAAATAAAGCATCCGTACTGATCCAGAGCAGAGGGCTTGCATCACACTTAAATGCCATCAGACTCTAAATTTAAACATGAGTCAATATTGCTAACTAGGAGGACAGGAAGGGACATCTCCTGCATACAACTACATAACAAGATCCTCCATTGTCAATCTGTTTAGGTTATGTTCTTTATTCCTTTGTCTTCTGTCAATGGACTTTGAAATGATTTCCATTATGACTGGTTCTTCTCTAAACTCCCAAATGTGTTCTTCCGCTTTCTCCATGATGCGGTAGGCCCGCTGTTCATCTCCCAGGCAGGCAGCTGGCTCTACATCAGACACATGCGAGGACAAAGGGGAAACTCCAGATTGTCGTGGTGAGGGCAGCCACCCGTAGAAATGCTCAGTGGGATTTCATTTGTTTATCGTTGGCACAAATTACAGTAAACTCGCAAAACTCTTAAAGCTCCAGTTGGTACAAAGAAAACAGAGAACAGGTTTAGACAGAAAGACACAAACTGGCCATTCGCAGCAAGCCAAATATAACTAATAAAAGAGTGATGTAAACTCAATGAGCAGGCTTAAAGACATCACTCAGGATCAAGATCACACTCCCTGAGGAAAACTATTAACGTACATAGGGGGCACGGTGTTGCAGTTTTATTGGTGCCCTGAGGGGTGTGATGTAGGCAGCATTTTGAGTCTGTTTGTATAGAATTGAATGCACACTTCAGGCTATTGTAAAGCTAATCATGAAGATAATCTCCGTCTCCAAAGCTCCGTGTTTCACTTTACCATTACTGTAAATCCCTGGTGGCAGCGTTTTCTCAACAAAGTGCTGACATGAGCGTTAAAACGGATATTTTGCAGGGATCCCTTGTTCAGGATGACCTAATGAAATGAGAGGCCTGTGAAAGAGCAATGATAGTGATTTTGAAGCAGTAATTGATACGCCAGAACTACAGTACTGCACTCCTATTGGGTAGTAGCATATGAAGTAAAAAAAGATTATTGTATCACTTGACACCTCTAAGGAAATAGGGATACTGCTTACAAAAGCGTGCAGGCCTTTTTTGTAGATCTCAGGATTTATAAAGATGGGGGTTTATGATTTTGATCAGGATATCATAATATATACACTCAACAACACTGATATGGTTGAGCACAAGTAGCTCTCTTAGCAAAAGTGCATTTACATCCAGCATGAGAGTAG